AAAATGTCTCAGGTTCACAAATGTGCCAAAATCATCAAACATTCATCAGCTGTTTCTTTGGTACACAACTTCCACATGTAACAATGACATTGTTATCTACACTTAAAGAACTTTGTTAGCTATGAACATAAGTTACTTCCCTAACCTACATTACTGGTTGCCTTTGTTAGAAAACCATGGAACAGTCAAGCTCAGTTGCCTAAAACACTGTCAGAGATGTTTTGTTAACATTATTTTTAGTAGAATTATCATGCCTTAGACAAACAAATTCAACACCTAATTAATCTTTCTTTTTCATGATTGTTATGGTTATTTTTTCAGTTTTTTGCTCTGTTTTCGTGACTGATTGCTGTAATTTTTTTTAAACTGTTTTTATTCTTACAAAATATTTTTGTAAGAGTTCCAAAATTTTGTAGATCATCAGCACACTTCGCAACATTTGGCATGCAGACAAGACAGAGGTAGTCACTGTTCCCTTTGAGAAAAAACACCTTTTAAATGACTTCTTCAATTTATTTTATTTGAAATTCTGACCTGAAAATATTTTTAAAACAAGACTTGTTAGTAGTGAGAAGTACAAACCGAGTTTCCTTTCATAACTTAATTTTTTAAATGTCCCAATCACCGGACCTCCTTAAAAATATTACTTCTTTCTATTTTTTGGTGCAAAATACAAGTCCTTCTTTATATAAAAATGAAAAGTGCAAGTCACACTTCAATAATAACAGCTCCAAAGTTTACTTGTTGTTCTCCTCTGAGTCAGTTATCAACAAAATTGTTTTATACTTCGGACAGTGCATGACCATTTGTGGACTAGAATTTCAAACGCACCGCTGTAATCGCATATAGTTGCTTCTGTCTCTTGTACAAATGTTTCTTCATTATGAGACGCACTCTCCTCTGTTGGCACCACTGCTTTAAGTTCAATGGAAACGACAGACTGAGGAATCGAGATAGTGGTGTTGGAACGTGTTGCTGAACGCTTGTTACGGTCAAGCTTTGTTGATTTAGGTACTGATACACTATGATCATCTATGTATCTCTTGTACTTTCTAATGTGGTATCCTTCTTTTATAAAGATGAAGGGAAAAGACGATTTGTAATCGCATTCAAAATTGTGATTGGCTTGTGTTATTTCTCACCTTTGCCATGAACACAACTCAAGTGGGTTTTGAGTCTTTGTTTCCTCGACGACTTTCAGCCACAAATCGTGCATTTGTAGTACGATCGATTCTTGTCGATTATTTATACATAGGGTGAGCTCACATAATTATTTACATCACCGTCAGAACATGGATCTACGGTATCCATCGTCCACAGGCAGAGACCCGGTTGAAGAAGTCAGAATAAAGTTGAGCGCTTCTCTTGACACTGCAATCGGGCAAGCTAGCGGATTCACTATGCTAGCCAATGACAAGTCCTAAAAAGATCACGTGATCATGCCCGTGATCAGAAACAAAGAAGACTCCATTTGGCGCTCATCTTTGAATGTACTTTTCAACGTTTGATCGCTTATGTGTCAAGTTATTTCTTTCCCAACTGTTTTGCTTAATAGAACATTTCTAAAGATGGGTTTTATGGCAGTTCGATGGGAAAACGAGAACAGCGTGAGTGTTGTAAATGAAAAGAAAGTCGTTGGCGCCGTGGAGTTAAAAGAAGGGACAACAGTTGACATATTGACTGGTACAAACAAGGGTCGAGTGGCCATTTATAAAGCTACGATTTTGAAAGTTTGTGGTGAGCACAAATTGCGATATTCGTTACGTGATCGAAATCTTATCAAAGAGTAAATATAACGGCTTGAATTAAGCTTACATAACGCTCGGCGCAACTGAAACTCGAATAATTCTGAGAATCTAATCGGTCACTTGCATGCCGCAGTTTCTTAAGCTTATGCTTTACAATGAAATAAATCTATCAGTAAGGTTTCAAGATTACTTTAGTCACGTTTGGGAACATTCAGGATTCATAATACAAACTGTGATCAAACAAACCTTATCACATAAAGAAGCCCTCCTTGGTAAAAACAAAATAATGTATTCAGCCCTTTTTTAGTAGCCTCAAATTTTTGCTTAAAATTCCCAGTAATTCTTAAACATTCTTAGAAATTCCTGAAAATTCCTAGAAATTTTAGGAATTTTTTTAGATTTACGGCTTTTCAGGGAAAGTCATGGGTGCTCTGAGTTGGAACTCCTGGGAATTTCTAGGAATTTCTGGGAATTTCTTGGTTTTTAGAACCAGAGTTGTTATAGTTGGGAATTCCCAGTCCGAATTTGCCGTGAAAATTCACACCTCTTATTCTCAGGAATTCCAAAATCCATTTCGCAAGGGTTCTCGGCCTATACTCATAGAGCATTTTTGTGGTGAGTGTTTTTTGAATGTATATAGCATCAAAAAAATTAATTTCAAAGGTCAGTATATGTTAACTGAGGGAATTTTGTATAATAATTGTATAAATAATGTAACTTCCAAGATCTGATTGTTAATTCTCCTCTCAAGCTGCTACACATTTCCATGTAAATTAGTTATGAGGATTTGGTGTAAGGTCAAGATAATAACTTCTACCTGATGTGTTGGAGCATTCTCATCATCTGTTTGCTGGATAATGTATGGATATGGTAGGGAGAAGTTATATGCTTATCACCTCTGGGAGTTAAAGGGTTAAAAAACTTCCCTTAATTACCTCATGTCTTATATTAATTTAAACACAATCTTTCATTTAATGTTGAGGTAAACTTGCAAACATATATAATTTCCCATACCATTATCAGACACTAGTACATTACCTTCAAACCACAGTTTAACCTAGTATAAATTTTTCCATACAAAAAGGATCTCCGTGTAAATTTGGTATGTTGGCTGCTTTTTAAAAGTAAACATCATAGGTTAATATAATTAAAGATGGCTGAAAACAAAATTGTTTTACTTTTGACTCTTGTGACAAGGAGATGACCTAAAATTAGCAAGAGAGGAAGATGTGGTGGATGCTGTGGATGGGGAAGCAGATGCTGTGGATGCATTCACCAGGGAATGGTAAGAGGTCTTTTAGATTTGATATGATAAAGGTAGAAATATTTTCAACTTGGTCCTCATTGGCAACCTTACCATCCTACAGAAAATTTCCAGAAACATATATAGCATCAGATACTAAGCTGTTATGTTAAATAATGTCTTGTTTACAACTTCCTATTCTAAAAACCTGGATATATCTGTATAATTTGCATAATATGTTTTGATTATCCCAGGCAGATGTATACTCGTTGCACCAAATCAAAGTGAATACTGATGAGATTCACAAGGGGCAAAGAATGATTTATCTCACCCAGAATTTAATTACGAGGGCGGAAGTGGACAGTGAAAATCAATCAAAATTGCAATGATGTTTTTTGTTGATCTTTCCATTTTCACCAGCCTCCTGCCAGTAAGCATGAATTCAAAAGAAATTCAAAAGAGGGCAGTTCTAACATGGTAGTTACTAAAACAAGGAATGACCTAAAATGACCTAAACTGACCTTGAGTAATTTCTGAAATGACCTTAAATAGCCTAATGTGACCTGGAGTGATGTGGACAATGTGGCATCAACAAAATCTGGATCAGACCAGACTGGACCAGATTGTTCATTTCAGTTTGCTGATTTTACATGATTTAGTATTTGGTTTTTGGTTTTCCAAATTTTTTCTGGTTTTTCTTCAATCTGGGTGGTAATTAAGCAGTCATGATTCTTGAATAGCACCCGAGACTTTGACCTTGAAATGTGGAGCACTTAGGTTAATCAGTTTGTGAACTATGTCTTCCAGCGTGCCTCACGTGCCAGCAATGGAAGAAGAAAAATTATTAGAAAAAAGGTTGTGTGGCCTGGAGGTGGGATAGGCAGAGGTCATCAGGCAGACGGTGTCCTCTAGCCAGCATTTTGTACCCATTCTGCAGTCTGCATTTTGTACTGACCAGATTGGTATAGCTGTTTTTGTTCAAGCAAGCCTCAAGTCTAGACCGAAATATTGAGGCTTGAAAAAAGTCTTAGTGAGACTATCTTGATCGCTATGATTGATGTGTAGACTGTATGTTGAACAGCTTCCAAGGACAAGCACAATGATAGAGCAATGATTACTTTATACCAACTGAAGACGAATGCAAATGCATGGCTTAACAATATGGCTGCTTCTAATACCCTGATCTGCATGGTCACAGGGTATGTTGAAATGAACCCGCTACAGGTCCCCTAGGTGTGAACATCTCGGCTTCTCGATTCAAGTTGCATTTTTAGATGTTCGGAAATGTGATTTGAGGTTATTATTTTTACTAAACCATACAAACATTTTATTTCTTTCCACATGAATTTCTGAGCTTCATCGAAATTAATTTTGAGTTTTACTTAGTGGGGAGGGGTAGCATGCGAGACTTCTTGCATTCACAGTCCACAATGCAACATCGGTCCATGGGCGACAACTTCTGTCAACATCTGCTTCATCACAATTCCTCATTCATTGCTTTCGGAAAGCTAAAACCCTTATGAAAAAGTCAAGAAGGGAATGAGGATCTTTGTTTGATGACTTCCTTTATGACTTAAGGAGCCAACACAAGCACCATCCATCAGAGCATTATAGCCACACAGCACCATCCAGCACACAGCACAGCACCATCCATCACACCATAGCCAGACAGCCTCAGAGACACAACCCCAAACAGGAGAGGAAGTGAATGAAATTAAGTGAAACATAAATATTTATTACCAATAAAACTGCTACAATTACCACTTTATCTGATAAGAACTTGGCAGCAGCAATTTTAAGATTTTTTTTATACATTTTCAGTGAAATAATATATAGATTTAGCCAAGCCTAAAAGTGGAGCTCGCATTTTTTTTTTCCTGCACGTCTCAAGGGCACAACGCCTTGCCACGGCCAGGACTAGAACCCGGGTCGTCCTACTCGGAGCCCAGTGCACTGACTACTGGACAAAGCCGTGGCATTGGCGTGCCAGCGGTACAGTTGACTATGCGTGTTAAAAGTAGCACCTTGTATGGTTGGTTGTACAGTCATAAGTCCAAATTTTTTCAGCTTGATGGGTTACTACTACCATTTTGTATAATTATGGGGCTACGCTCTGCAAGCTCCGCTATTAATTAAGTTGTCATGTATTTATTATGTCAGATTAAAGAGTTAAGCAAGAAAATTAGGGAGGCCCGACAATGCTAGTCTAAAAGAAGAGAAAGTCACAATTGTCCTCTTCCACTCAGATGGCAAGGAAAAATGCCAGTTTGATAAAGGTCCTTTCTTCCAGGTACATATATACAATGATACAATTTATTGCTTTAAAAAGTACTTCTGAAATGCAGACATATGGTGATTGCATGATCAATTTTTAAAAAAATGTAACCTTTTTTCCTGTTAATTTAAATGATATAGGAGGTATAGAACTGGGCAGGCTCCAATAAGTCTTTACCACTACACTTCACTATACAAAGAGGTAAGGAATTCGTAAGACATGGAGACCTCTTAGAGAGAACTGGGCCGGGTTCAAAGCTGGGTTAAGATAATCCAGGGTTTGTGTGAAACTGATTTTAGATCTGAAAGCTTTAGAAGAAAATTCAGTTGAATAATTTTTGTCTAGAATACGACTATTTGATGCTCGAATAAGAACGCATAAAATTATCCCAAAAAGGCTTTTGAATAAAGGAACTGGGCCCAGAGGTCTTACACATTTACAAGAGAGGCCTTACACATTAACAAGAGAGGCCTTACACATTTACAAGAGAGGTCTTACACATTTACAAGAGAGTAAGCATATAATATTATTAAATAAAACAAATAATAACAGTACTAGAAACCTGGAATTCCAGTCTAAAATGTACTTGTGTTATTTTAAGAAGGCAATGGGACACCTTTGGTGGATTTAAATTTCAAAATACCCTTTTAATTCTGATTTTAGAGGTGGTGGGAATAATATGACAACTGATATGCTAAAAACCTGGTAGTTCTTAGCACACAAAATCACTCATTAGGAGGTACATAAATAATACAAGGATGAATTTTGTGGAGATTTTTGTTTGCATATTCACCAATTTACCTGTGTAAGATTTAAAAGTCACTGTGGTAAAATGTTCAAACAGCCACCCTCTTAAATACCTTTAACTGTGGAATTTAAGTATTAAACCTTGTCTCCGATGCTGTCAAGATTTTGTTTTTATTTTAGTGAGGATGAGGCTGAGATTAAATCACTGTGGGAAGATTTATTTATTTATTTATTTATTTATTTATTATGTCTCAAATATTGTAGAATTAATAATGAAATAAATAAATAAAATCAATCCAGTAAAGCATGTACGAAATTCTACCTTTTTCAGCTCAGGGTAAAAATAAATAAAATTAAAATGAAATGACCATCCCATGATACTGGAAAAAAGGAAGCAAAGCATAAAGACATGTAACTGAGATCATGATGAAGTACATTATGACCATGCAAGAAAAGCATACCCAGTCTTGACAAGGGTTAACACAATCCAAAAAGAAAATTGCAGGTAACGTACATTGCTCAAAGATAACACCAGTAAGCTGAAATTGAGACAGATAAAGACTCAGCAATGTTCCTAAATACAAAGAAAACATGTTTCTTTACAGATTTCACAAGAAACTGCCTTTAAATGCCAAAAAAATCAACAGTGATCATATATCATATCAACAGATGAAGATCCAAACACAAGAAATAGAAATGAGGTAAGGGAAGCAGTGCAGATTAAAATGCCATGAAAAATTATTAGAAGTATGCTTTGTTATTAAAACCTTACAAATAGCATGTTGCATTGTCATGTTCTATAGATAATAATTCCTGGCAGAAAAAATGACTTTGACTTGAATCACACATATCCCTTTGGGACAGACAGACAGGTCCCAGGTGTTCAACCTACTGTCCTCCTAAAAGGACCCTAGTCAGCCACACCTTTGCTTTTGTTTACCTTTGGATTTTTAAATACTCAGGAACTGATGTATATGTTGTTAGTGTTATGCAGTACTAATTATGATTTGAAATTAAAAGTCATCGCCAGAAATCAAGGACATTTCGAGCCCGCTAACAATTATCAGCGGTATATCGTATTACACTCAGGAACAATAGAATATCGGGAGTTACTACATCACGGGCGACGAGCGGGGATAGAAAAAACGACCCAAATACGAGTGGTCAGCGGTGAAACAACTTTCATACTTCATATATAGACATCATTTGTAGTATCAGGAAACAATCGTGTTGTAAAGCCGAAGTGTAAACAGTTTACTTCGCTAAATAAAATGTTAAGCAATTCAAAAGTGTTGATTGTACATATATCTTTTACTGCTTTAGTAAACAATGAAGACATCGGTGGCATCCGAAAGGTACCAAGAAGAATTAAATGTACGTTTTGTAGTTGCAGAAAACAATCGTGTTGTAAAGCCGAAATGTTACCAAGTTACACTTCGCTACTTAAAAGTTACGCAATTTTCCTCAAGCTTTAACTGGAACAATACTTTTAATGCCCTATTAACCAACTGAGGCATCGGGAAAGGCATTGGTGACACCGGGAAAGGCATCAAGAAAAATGATATTCACGTTATGTAAATTGTTGTGTGACGAAAAAAACGTATCTTGACTTGTTCAAAGCATTAATCACAGTTGGCTTCCTTTTCACTTGAATTTTGTATCCACAGCCTAAGATGAGAAATTTAAAATTTCTATCAGCTGAAGTTCTTTTACTGCATATTATATCTATTCAATCGCCCCCAATTCACGTGGAAAAAAGGCAAGTAGGAAAACACTGAGCTTCGAGAAACAGCCATGTTAAGGCTAATGTATTTACCATTCCTTAAATATTTACAATCAAGACCACTCGTTTAGGAGACCTTTTCTCAAAAGATCCACACGTGCAAATAATGCTGTTTTCCGTTCGAAATGTTTTTTTTCATATTCAATTGAACAACTGACTTAGCGTTTAAGCCGAGAAAAAAATCACAAAGTTTGAATTCTGGGATGTTGTCCACTGTTGGCTCCATCAAGTTACGATTCTGCACCATTGACGCTCGTGAAAATCTATCTTAACGTCACGCACGTCACGCAGCTAGCTACAAACCATATATATAATTATTCTTGGTGCCTTTCCAAATGCCACTGACTCCCTCTCCGAAGCCTCCATTGTTTATTAAAGCAGTAAAAGATATGAGTTCAATCAACACTTTTGAAAAATTGCTTAAACTGTGAAGTAAACTGTTAACATTTCGGCTTTACAATACGATTGTCTCTGGAACAACAAATTATGTCTCTATATGAAGTATAAAAGCTGTTTCACCGATCTGCAAAGAAGAGTATTTCGTATCATGACTTATGCAATTTGAGCACCGCAGATCTTCTATTTGATGAAAAGAAAAAGAAAAGAAGACCTGCAAGTAAATCTTTCGGATTTTTCGAGGCAGAGCGATGACATGATGTCAGAATTTTGGTTTGCTTTAATTTAATTTTCGCGCCTACTGAATTTGCATTCAATGCCTGGCATATTTTTATTCCGAAAAGGACCGAGAACTAATTTATTTCCCTGCAAGAACATAAACAAATATGGCCGACGATTCGAAGATCAGCGTTGCTCGTGTTTAACTATTTCAGTCATAGTTTTCAACATGGCGTCTCGTCATTTACTCAACATGAAAAATATGGGATATTCTGGCGCGTTGGGAACTTTTTTGATGGGAGGAAATGGCAATTTTACAGGATATTTGGACGCTTCGAACTCTGTAGCAGTCAATTCGATCGAGAGCAGTTGACTTTATTGATGCACTTTCCTGTAATAGGCGAGTGTTTGGGATGGAGAACGACGGATTTTGAAGAACTGTATGGCGACCTAGGTCAATAATCAATGACAAAAGAACTGGCTCGGGAAGTAAGTAGTTTTTATTTATCGAGTCCCTGTGAGGTTTGATGAATAGCAGAATCAGTACTGAATATGTCTCGATCGAGAGCAGACGGGACCACGAGCTCCTAATTGTTATATTTTAGAAATTTTACAAATTTCCATACAGTTTCTTATATTATTTGGACGCCATTATGGACGAAATGCGCAAGCGCGGTAGCCATCTTGTCCAATATTTCTGCCGATGTGATGTTGCACACGCAGTATGGCCTGGTTTACTTGTTTCTCGTATGTAGTGATATATGCTCCTCATGTGAAGGACTTTGTCCTCTCTTTAGGAGGTTTTGTTGCTGCTGTTTCTTTTTTAAGAAAAAATCTTATTTTAAGGAAACTGCTCACATTGAAACTTAGGGGTGTTAAGCTCACTGAAAATTAACCACACATACCATGTAGTCAAAGGAGCACTTCAGTTCCTTAAATGTTTATGACACTTAATTTAAGACTCTTATCCCCTCCACTTTTATGGGTCTTATCAAATTTTCCTTTGCTCTGCATCAACAAATATTAAACCTGATACAAGTACCTCTTAACAATTGAATATAATAACACATTTCTTTTAAATGGCATGTATGGTTATGTGTAACACAAGAAATGTACACATTGTAAAAAGGGTTATATCCTAAGGAGTTCTATTTGTTAAATCAATGTGTTAGATTAAACCTCTCAGTCAAAACAATTTTACAGTCAGATATGATTCATAACTCTATCTTTGGTCCAAAAAAAGGAAGTTTCATTTTATCTGTAGCATTATGCTTTAGAATAACCATAGTAAATTTTTACAGCCATACTGACAAATTCAAACTTTTTGTAATGATTACAATTCAATATTGTTTTAATTTTGCATATATTAATGGCCAGAACGTATTATGGAAATAGACTAGAAAATAAAACCTTTTAAAGTAAATAATTATTCAAAGATAACTTTATTTCACATGCCCATGAAAGAGATCATAGATTGGAATAAGAACATTTGGAAGACTTTCAAAAGAGTACTAAAATTTAAGCTTGTATGAAACTCAATACCTTACTTGCAGCCATGCCTACTTTGTTGAAAGGGTGGAATTAGCTTCCTCGGGTGATAGCCCAGTGATTGAAGAGAGCAGGGACCCTTTGACTTAATTCTTGCTTTGCACTGAACAATAAGAACATTTAGAAGTATATTATACAAATAATATACAAATTTTATGGCAACAAGTTAAAACTTTTATATATTTTGATAATGATCAATAAGCGTTGAAACCAAAAAATTTAGTCACTGATGTACATGTTGTTAGTGTTATGGGGAACTAGTTATGATTTGAAAATAAAAGTTAATGCTGCACATGCAATATCAAAGACTTCCAAAAGAGAGCAAAAATTTAAGCTTGTATGAAACTCTACACCTTACTCGTGGCCATGTTTACTTTACTGAAAGGTGTGGAATAAGTGTCCATGGGTGAGAGCGCGGTGATTAAATGGAGTAGGGACCCTAATTGGCTTTATTCTCGCCTTGCACTGAACATTAAGCAAAGTTAGAAGTACATTATACAATATTTATATGTACACATTTGTGGCTACGATTTAATACTTGTTTATATTTTTGATGATGACCAATAAGCATGGAATCCAAAAAATTCAGCTACTGATGTATATGTTGTTAGTGTTATGTAGTAGCTAGTTATGATTTGAAATTAAAAGTTAATGTTGCGCATGCAGTATGGCCTGGTTTACTTGCGTCAACTATTACTGTTTCTCGTATGTAGAGATAATTACGCTCCTCGTGTAAAGGACTGTCCTCTCTCTTGGAGATTCTGATGTTGTTGTATTTTTTTTAATAAAAAAACTCATTTTAAGGAAACTGTTCAAATTGAGACTTAAGGGTGTTAAGCTCGCTGAAAATTAACCACACATACCTTGAAATCAATTTAGCAATTTAATTCCTTACCTGTTTATCAGACTGAATTTAAGACTCTTATCCCCTCCGCTTGTATGGGTCGTATCACATTTTCCTTTGCTCCGCATTAACCGATATTAAGCGTAATACAAATACTTAAAACAGTTGAATACAGTAAATAATATAAGATTAACCTCTTTGTACCTGCGATGTACACTCCATTTTCGAAGGGTAAAACTTTTGGAAACCAAGAAACGAAAATCATCCTCTGTGCTTTCTCACATTCCATCCATTCATCTCCCGTTCACAACTTGTTTGTGGTTTCTTTTGGCATGATAGCACAGAAGCGCCCAAAGCAACTGTTCTTCCCTCAGGTTTGTTCAATCGCTGAGCAATCAATGCGCCTGCACTTATTTGCTCAGTGGATTCTACCCACAT